TTAACTGGTTACGACCCGACCATACTCAATGGATGACTTTTATATTTCACTTTTTTCAGGCCAATTTCTTAGATTTAGGATAGGTCAATCTAAGGCATGAGATTGAGGAATCGTAACGCGACAATATTTCTCATTCTCTCAAAAATACCGATCCCAAAATATTGCAAAGCTGAGGTTTTATGCCGATTTTTGTCCAATTTTTCACCCAAAACGAAATAGCGCTGACCAAATTTTGTATTCCGACTCTTCATTTAGTGGTAAAAACTCTCTCTTTAATTCATAAATATTGCAACTGGTCCCTGGTAAGATCAGCCCGAAAATTACTTGAAATTCCTCAAACCGGGTGCCGACATTTCGACGCTCCTGAGACTGATATCAAGACTCGCTTCTTCGATTTTTGATATCACAGGCGCACGCGTGCTCGTCCGAGTTGATTTAAGAGAATGACAAACAGACGGTCGGACCATTTTTCTGCCAGTGACACTGTTTTGAAGTGACAATCGAGGTGTTGGAATCCGTGTTATTTTCGTGGCTCGCCGCTCAGAGCTGGTCATAATCAGCATTTACACGTGAAAAAGTGAAGTTTCTGAATGGACAATCATTAGTTATAACTGTAAGGCAGAGCTTGAAAGCAATCATACCTAAAAAGGTAATAAACTGCGAAATTGTCATTATAGTTTGAAGTGCTTTTTCATCAAAAACAATAATAGTTCTTGGGCATTTGGTGATCCTACGCGAATATTTCAGCAAGCGCGCTTAACTAGACGCTAAAAATTCTCAAATTTTAGTGAGGGAGGTTACTGAATAGTGTAAACTAATTACCACAACATCACACTAATTTTTTATTCGAAATTGTGACATTTTTTTAAAAATTTGAACCAGTGCTCCCCGCATCAATAAGAATACAGGTTTCAGGACATTTGGTGAAATTTTGTGAACATATCAGTTAGTGATTTTTGTTTTGCGCTAAAAATTCTCCAATTTTAGCGACGAAGGTTAACGAACGATACAATCAAATGCCCATAACATCACACCAACTTTCCATTCGAGTTTTCCGCGAACCTAGTGTATTCGGATAAGCAGGAGAATTCCATCGACATGTTTCGACCAATCAAAACCGTGATGAAGTTTTTCGTCTTGACAATCCTATTGGTCAAATGCGTGTTATCAGTGCCGCCGAGATCAGCGCTCAGGGACCACTTCCAGAACGTCATGTTCGGGAGGACCGACGCCTCTTGCTTCCTACCCAAAGCTGAGATGGTGGAGGATTTCGAAGACCAGTTGGAGAGCCCGCAGTGCAGCGCGCGCGATATGGAGTGGCTCCAATACTTGAACCCCAGGGACCTCCGGGATATGAGCTTCGACGAGGAACAGGCGAGGAATTTCGTCAACTGTTTTGTCAACAACGATTCGCATCGATTCGATCCTGTGCCATCGGATTTTATCAAGTTCGTGAAAAGCCTAGGCGACCACGAGCGGAGAAAATCCGACGTTGAGGCTTGCACTTAAAGCGCCGCTCCAAAAACAGTTGTTTTATAGTGATTCAATGGACGCCATATGTTGTGCTAGAACGGCATGCGGTATAACGGCATCGATTAGTTCCATTTTTTCAGCTACTCGTCATTTTTATCGAATTTTGAGATAGCAATTATGTTGTTAGGAGACTGAAGAATTCACTTACCAATGTTGACAAATAAAATTCAACGTAATAAAGGTGTGGTTTTTTTAGAGAAAAATATCGCATTAGAGTGCAGTTTCGATATCAGTATCGAAAGCGATATTTTTCCTCTAAAAAACCACGCATATTATTACGTTAAATTTGTTTGTCAAAATTGGTAAGTGAATTCTTTAGTCTCCTGACAACACAATTGCAATCTCAAAATTCGAGAAAAATAATGAGTGCATGGTTGAAAAGTGGAACCAATCGATGCGGCAAATCGCACGTCGTTCTGGCAAAAATATGGCCTCCATAGAATCACCTTACGTGGAAAACGCCGTATATGAACACTTGAACAGTGCAAAAATTGTCTCGTCTTTAATTCTGCCGGGCTAAGAAAGCACGCTGTATAAACCCTCAGTAGTTGTCAAATTTTCTTCGATAAAACAACGAATTTTCTGGTAAACTTATGAATATTTTTCTTCCAATTTTTCATATAATTTTCCTCGCAATTCCAGTCGCAAAGTCTTAACTATTTCAAGGGAAAATATTCATAACTTTCCTAAAAACGAACATTTCACCGAAGGGAATTTGGCAACTTTCGAATGTTCATACGGCGTTCTCCCTTAGCACGGCAGAATTATTGTCTTGTGTTTTGTGTGTCTAAAATACATATAAAGGCCGGTATCGACGAGGGCCGTGTTTGGGCACATGCTATGAGTTGAGTTTCCTCAAATCTACGATTTTTGCCCATTGAAGGTCTATATTTTACGGAATGCAACAAGATTTGGTCATATCTGGTCTCTTTTCCGCTCTGATCCAAACATAAGTCTGAAGGCCGATTTTGGCGGAAAACGGGGATTTTTCGGTGTTTAACCGCTATCGCAACACTCGCATTTTGCGCCAAAATCGGCCTTCAAACCCATATTTAGACCCGTAACAGACCCGAAAAAAGACCGGAAATCACCAAGTCATGATGCATTCCATGAATTCTCATGATCTCCATCCAATTTTATACATCGTAGAAATTCCCAGGTTTTCAGGAAAAATGTCAAAGAGCCCCGTTTTAGAGGGTCCTCCTCGTTGATTTTTTTGTTAGCTCTAGGTTGCTGTGCTATTTTAAATTTTTCCGAGAGCCTATCGCATACTGTTTTTGAAAATCATTCGTCCCTAAAACTTCATGACGCATTACCTTCAGAGTTCACTGATTGTGAGTATTTTTTTAAGTCTAAAAAATATGCATGGATGAATGATTCTCGCGGGAGTAATACCTGTACCAAGCCACATGACACAATATGTTTCTAAAGTTTTTTTTCATAAAAATTACTTAAATATAGTAATAACACATATTAAATAATACTCAGAGAGGCCCAATTTAACAGCCTTTCACGCAGTTTTTCTCATCGTCGGGTCCAAGATGGCTCCTCAGCACTCAGCATACCCCATCGCTGAAGGAGCGGATTCAAAGGCCCCCCGCCTTTGAATCCGACCCATCCGAATCAGACTTATTGTAATCGTAAAGATGTAGAAAAACAAAATCCACTCGGCAATGAATTATTTTATTGTCAGTACAATCATTTGAGAGTGAACATTTTCCCCAAGAACATTTGCGGTGAAAGAATTTGTATGTGCTTATTTTTCAAATGTATCTTTATTATTCAAATGTGTGCTGCTTTTGTGAATTCCCTTGAAATTAAATCCTTCAGTTGCCATATCAGTTGCCTTTTTAATTTTTATATATTTGATTGCGCTAGAAGTCGTGAGTCCACATTGTCCTGTCGAGGAAAAGCTAACTGCCTATCAGGCAAAATCAGAGTCAACATTCGTACTGCAAGGCGTATTTTGGAATGTTCCCATGGGTAACCTCGTTCTCCACAAGTTAATATTCCGATTTTTGTTATTACTTTTACATGAAGTCACTCGAAAAAACGAGTAGAATACAATTCAAGCTAAACAAGAATACCACAATACACATTTTTCGCCACTAATTTACTATGCTCTTTCTTGACGGGGTGGCAAAGATTTTGCCGTAAAATCTTGAACGGTTGAATCGCTAATTGTGTTCTGAACATTTTTTTTTAATCATAAAATAAGGTTTCATTTCTTACGATCACTTTTAAATCACAAACAACAATGTGTAAAAATAGTGTAATTTCCCATGGATATGCTATATATAGCCAAGAAGCAAACAATACAGATAAATAAAAACATTTTTCCATGAAACTTGAAATTAAGTGTTAATGTAATAGGTTCCTCCGGTGATTTCAGAAAATTTCTCAAATTCACTGCAATTTTTAAGGGTTAAGATAGAAAGAATTACTGTCTCGTTTAAAAATATTCAAACATTTATAAAGAATTTAAAAATATTAATTTTCAAGCAACGTTGAAATGCTAACGATTTATTTTGAGAGTAATGTCAGACTGTGATCATGATCATGTAGCTTCCTGCAATAAAACTATAAGTGAGGTACTCTGAGCTTCTATAGTCTCCTGCAAAATTGTGAAATCGTATTGGGTGAAATCATGCTAACACGTACATTTGCCTACATCTCGCTTTGAAGGCATTTGCTTCTGGCATCATATTAATTCGACTTTCATCCACCGCAGTTCCACACACTTATTTACTGCAGTATTTTAGGATGAGGATGCGATTCTTTTATTCTTGAAGATAGGAGAAAAGCCCATCAGACTATCTCATTACATTGTAAACATCAATTTTTACGAACTGTCTTTTTATTGATTACATACTTACTTTGTTCTAATCACCAAATGTCAAAGAGCATTATTATTGACCAAAAGGATAGCTGATTATTTATTTCGCTCGAATATAAGCAACACTACATAATTAGGATATTTTCCTAACTCGCACATTCATTCGTTGGTTTTTTTTTTGCAATTTTAAGTGTTGTTGTCTTCCAGATTACAATTATTTCATCGAGACATTATCAGCTACCGTGACCCTATCAAATTTCAGGCGATTTAACTCAGCTATCCTCGCTTGTAATAAATTACAGAGATATAGCTTAATTGATTTATAAATTCTCCGAGGCCACTTCTCTGTGGAAAATTCTAAACATAATAAAGCGTTTTCGATAATTACTCTCCAATATGATAAAACTTAAATTAGTCTTACATAGACAAAAGAGCGTCGTTTATCAGACAACTGCGATATTTTTCTTTTTTTTACATATTTGATAAAGCTGATTTTATGAATTCCCCAATTTGCTTAATAAGTATGAAATTTTAAAAAAATCAGAAACATTTAAAGGAAAGCGTCTCAGCAAAAGACAGTTTGAAACTACTGATAAAGGCTCGAATTCCAATCGAATGACGGTTTTTTTCCTTTTGATTGAAGTTTGAATCGTCGAGAATTAAAAGCTGCAATCCTTACTCCGATGTCCAAAATTTGTCAGATGTTGGAATTTTTAAAAAGAAGTAATCAATGAAACTTCATGAGTACAATGCTGTCATAATTCTCCTGTTAAAATGTAGTACATTCTTGAGAAAGTACGCTAGTAAAAACTCGCCTGCTCCTTTTACAATAAATCAGACGATTGTCAAACTTTCATACAGCGAAAGGGAGATTGCATTGTAGGTTTTTGTTAAATACACCTCAATTGAAGTGCTTAAGAGAATAATATTGCACAACACTGAATGTTACATTTTCGCTTTTGATGCTTAAAAAAATATAAAAAAACGTGTCAAAATTCGACAATTTTAGATAAAAAATGAAAAAAAAAAAAATCCTTTAATTAACGTAAAATTGATAAGGCATTCGTATAATGTTTCCTCCTTTCATAGAAAAGAGAGAAGCACTAAACTCGAAGAGTAGGTGCCAGATCTGAATTTGTAGAGCGATATCTTAGGAACGAAAAACCAATCACAGCACCTGTGCACCGATCAGATCATAGCTGAACTCAAAATTGTGTCTGTAAAATGCCATTCCGATAGCTAAAACTTTGCCGCAAACCGTGAGGATATGAGGAGGGAGTTCGCCATTCTTCATTCGTTTCAAAACCATCTCTGCTGTCTTTTTCATATCTGTACTGATATTTGCTCCCTCAATCTCCATAATTATTCCTACCGTAGAGTAATTCTTGGGTTCCAGAACAAAGCTGTAACAGCGCCGTCGTCTCATGTTGACGTTCTTTTCGGTCTGATTTTCTGTAATTGTGTAATGATCACGTAAAGGAGTGAAAAGAGCTGCAAAATAGGTGTAATATCGCCCTAAGTGCGCGGGATTTTCGAAGTTGTAGTAAATTCCAGTTTTTTGCATGCATTCTAATAAGAAGTCCATTATCTTTTCAACCTCTCCGTGCATTGTGTTCTTTACAAATTCTGCCAGCTTCACTGTAGTTTTCCTCACCGCCTCTGAGAGCCTCGTCCTGCACCAGTGGTTGATTTCATTTTTGATCTCAAAATTAGAAATGACCAGCGAGTAAATTTTCCGGCTGCTATCCTTTAAAAAATAATTACAGAAGAAGGAATCAATCAAAACTATTAGGTTGAAAAATACACAGAAAAAATGAGCTGTATATGCTTTTAATTACCGTCTCAAATATCATAGGTTGCAATTTTATACGTAAAACTAGTGCGTGGAATTACATCGTAGTGTTATGTATGTTGCATATCTATCAATTGAAGGGGCTTTTCATATTTAAAGTTATTACAAGACGCCCGCCGATTTAAGGCGCATGGCACATCGTAATGTTGTAATGGTATGATGCTCCTTCAATTTGCCGTAGAACGGAAATGTATACACATCAAAACACGTATACAGATGGTTTCACGATAACTGGAATAGCTTTGTCGCCGTAACATACAACATATTTTTCGGTCATATTTTTAGTAGTAATGATAATCACACGAATTTGTTTTGCATTAATCTACACAGGGTTACGTGTTGTAACGCTTTTCAAGGATTTATCGCTCTCCTTTTCAATTTTAATATATAAATGGCCGAAAATGTGCTGTCTGTTACGCTGAAATTTTACCGCGTAACAGACAGCACATTGTCGGAATTTACATAATATTGATTGAGAAGCAGAGCAATAAATCATTAGAAAGCGTTATAATACGTAACCCTTTGAAGATTAATGCGAAAAAATTCGGGTGATTATCATTACTACTAAAAATATGACCGAAAAATGTGTTGTCTGTTACGACGACAAAACTACTCCAGTTATCGTGAAACCACCCATCCAGTTACACGATGAGTAGCAATGGCGGGGCGAAAATGATCGATCGTCGATATTTCCCCTTAAGCTGTGGTGAAGAATTGATTAGTAAGGTGTTCGTTGCGAACACCTTGTTTATCGATCCTCTTTCATAGGTTTAAATGGTATATAAATCAATACCTCCCCAAGCACGCCACGGCACTGGTAGGTACACTTACCTCCTTGACAAAATTGGCGCTTAGATATCCTCCATGCACTAAGACAGTCCAAAAATACTCTGCTTCAGATGTCAAAGCTTCAAAGGGAACACTCCTGTGTACAAATTTCTCAATTATTCCTCCTTGTACTAAATAAATGAAACTAACAGCTTCACTCACACCAATCAAACTGAGAAGGTTCGAAACTAAGCGAGAGTCGGATGAACGAACCCAATAAGGGGCCAAAGCTCCTTTATTCGCTAAACAGTATAACACCGACCACGGATTATATTTCGTGACTGGAGAGTCCAAAGCGTACCATTCAGTTAGGTCCTTCATTCCCACACTACCAGAGATTCCTTGAAGTAAGTTATTCACTTCAGGGGCGGTAAATCCAAAATATGGTCTTTTTTGGTCATTAAAGACAGATATAATTTTGGTGCTTCGTTTGGGAAATATATCGCCTGATGAAATGCTGTATAAGCCTGTAATTATACCTTTTTTAACGAATGGACTGGTAGTAAGGCATGATAGAACATTGGAGAGTAAACGTGACATTTCGGGTAAGTAATTGTTCATGTAGGCTGCTCTGAGAGGCGTATCGTAATCATCAACCAGTAATATCACAGCTATGTTTTCCTTTATCAATTTTTTCACGTTTCCGAGGAAATCGCAAAGGGAAAAAATTCCGTTCCGGACAGTCTCAATGGAAGACGTTCCATTCATAATCATTCCCAATTGGAGGGAGTTAAACAAGTTGAGAGAGTTATTCGTGAGTAAGTAGCTATGCTCTTTAAATTGTTGTTGAATTATGGAGTAAACAGCCGATTCAGAGGTCTTAAAGTCTTTTGCGTTGACATCACGGAATGAGAAGAGAATGACCGGGAAGCGGTTTTTGTAGGTTTCGCGGGACTTTCTCATTCTATCGAATGCTTTAAAATTCATATCAGCATGAATCATGAGAAATCTAGAAACTAAACGTAAACGCACGAAGCCTCGTTAATAACTTTCAAAATGCATTTCACCGGGAGGCCCGGTGGAAGTATAAAATTACGCAACTTGAGGAGGTATATACTGCATATAATCAGATAAGAGGACCACGCACAAAAAGCCCAGATTATTTGACAAAACAAACACATGAGAAAAATGGGTACAAGGCTAAAATTTACAAAAAAAATGTCGTGTGACCGATACGGTGGTTTTGAACACTTTGTCAACTAGGAAAAAAAAAATATAATAAAAATAAATGAAAAAAAAAAACACTAAGAAAGGGTCCGAACTGTATGTAACAAGGTAGAGAAATGGTGCTGGGTCCACACCATTTCGCGGGGAAAACAAAGCCAAGAAGTTCCAAAAATTATAATTAGAGTTAAAATTAAATTTTTTGAACTCTAAGGCGTACCATTACGAAACTGAGGGGGATAATAAACATATAGAGTAAGATTTACAAAGAAGTATGATTTTGAATTATTGCTGTTGATTACATATTAGGGAGTAAATTTTCTTTTACGGATCCGCAGGTCACAAAAATTTTGACACTCCTAGTTTGCAACTTACAAAGGGTGTGCCATCCACACGGAAAAAAATCTTTGGTGCTTATAGCCAGATAGTAGGTGACATTTACCATCTTGGATTCCCAGATTCGACCCCTGAGAACAATTTTGCTACGAGCACAAATGTATGATGGTTAGTAACCTCAAACCGCGTTCAGGTAGGCGTTGACAACAAAGATGGTAATTCGCACCAACACTGCTGGGCGGGCGCGCCGTCCTCCGTAGACGTCCCGCACAGCGTTGCTGAGATAGACCTTCAAATATGGTAAACTGACCCATCCGGATGTTTAGTGTATCAATCATGAAAGCAAGGAGAACCTAATATTTTGTGTTTTTAGCCATAAAGAGGAGTATTTTCTTGTAAAACGTACAGCTAAAAAAATTGAATACAAAGGTGTGCAATGTCGGGGTTCGCAGCTAGATGATGGTGGAAAAGGGTTAATCGCGTAAATAAATTTCGAAATCGAGTAAAATGAGACTACAGTACTTATTGTGAGGTGCTGTAGTCGTACCCGACCCATCAAATTTTGTTGCCTACCGCAGGAATCGAACCTGGGACCTATCATACCCTAGCCGAGGACCCTAACAATTGAGCTAAACAGTATTATGAGAATCTTGACCGAAGAACCTGTGCATAGCTTCGATTTGAACGGGAAACCAGGATATTCAATCTACATACCTATTGGTTCATTCATTTTTCTAATTTTTGTATTTCATTTTATTTTTTAACGTTATTTTAGTTTTTTACTTTATTTTTTTTCTTTACGTAAAAATTTTTCTTTGATTATTTCTTTTTATTTATTTACTTTATTTTAATTTTTCCCTTTGTTTTTTTACTTAATTTTAATGTTTTACTTTATTGTTTTTTCTTCACTTAATATTATTTTTCTTTGATTATTTATTCTTTATTTCTTCCCTGTATTTTACCGTTACTTACTTTATTTTATTTATTGCAATTTTTTATTTTTTTACTTTAATTCAGTCACTTCATTTTAATTTTTATACTTCATTAAATATCTCTCCGTTGTTATATTTATAACTGCATTTTATTTATCTATTTTTTCTTTTTTTCTTTTCATGTCGAGAATCAATTCAAAATTTTCAAACTAGGATTATTTTTATGATTGGCTAAAGTGCTTCTAGCATTGGACAAATGATCCCAGGCTACTTACTTGAACAAGTGAGATTATGTAGAATAGAAAATAAAAAAATTACCCCTCTAAAGTACTGAAGTTTTGACATGGTGTTAAATATAGTGTATTGGTAAGCCTGGTAAACCTAGCCTACTGGTAAACCTGGGATGTTTAGCTTAACGACAGCATGCAATTGACATGAAACATTGTTAAAACATTAGTAACAATTGATAAATTTCTGCCATTTCCTTGGAATTTTGAATGTAGAAAAAAATTGATTTTGAAAACTATTATTAGTACCAGGGGCCTTTGGCCGCTACGCTGCCGACAACCAATGCGGAAGAAAACAACATACGTAAAAAGTCGTAGAACAACCGTGTTCAAGTTATCTCGGAGATTAATGGATTCAAATACCGTCAATGTTTTATTTTTGATCAATGTTTTTAAAAGAATACACACTGTTATTCCAATGAGTTTCCGCAAATTTTCCTGAGTGATTTAAAATAGATAAAAGAAAATTTGACTTAAAACGCATAATATCCGAAATCTAAGCTCAGATCGGCTTCCTCGTGAAAAATCGATGCCATTTCATGTATCGTATGTCACCATATCATAAAGGAAAGAGATTAACGTAGGCGTGTAGATTCTAACATATCAGTCCGACGTGGCAACATGGGTGATTCGGAGTGGGTCAGCTGATGAGTAAGAAGAAGTTTGTTTTCTCGGAAACGGACGAACCAAATGCTTGGCGCCTGGCGCCTGGCGGCGTAGCTCAAACGTTTGAATTCTGTGCCTACTTCCGCATACCGGCCGGCTTTGATAGAATCTTTACGCCTACGATTACCCTCTTTTCTTTATGCTATGGTAACATATGATACACGAAATAGCATCGATTTTTCACGAGGAAGCCGAATCTGAGCTTAGATTTTGGGTATGATGCGTTTCAAGCTGAATTTTCTGAATTTGAAAATTTAAGACGGCGAATGTAGCCTAAATTGATACATCGGCTCCCATTCCATCGATTAAATTCGAAATTTTAGTCTAATTTCGAAAAAGCAAGGTGGTGGGGGTGGCCTAAAACGCTATCTCAGTTCCTGCTCGTCGGATTTTCGTAAAACTTGGTGCCAAGGGGAGGGAGGGGGAGGAAAGAAATTTTCAAACACTGCAATCGATATGTCGCAGGCAAATAGTAAAATTAGGCATTTTGTCAAATGCCTAGGCAAATAGTCAAATACTAGGGGGCTATGCCCCCTGACCGCTACGCGGTCCAACCCCCTGAAGGCGCTCCGCGCCATCAATGCTATCATAGAGCCAATTGTTTTCTTTCGTTCCTCGCTCAAATCGAGAGTTACTTATTATTTCTCGAATCTGCTTCAATCAAAATATAATTATGCACACGACAAAGAAAAACACAAGTTTGATACATTATTATTCTTTGTTTAATTATAAAAATTAAAGGCAGTACAGTAAATGATCAGGCTGATATCAAAATGGGATTAATATTGCAGTATTTTAATGGGGGAAAAAACATAGATCGGAGGATCTCAGCCTCGATTTAGAATTCAAATTATGAACAATTGACACAAATATTTCTCTTCTCTACATCGGTGAATCTAATTGAACTCTGCCATTTGTTCGCATGGTGAGTTAATGCAATACGTATGCGCAAAGATTTGACAGCGTATTCCAGATAGAACTTTCATTAGATTGAGTCTCACTTATTGTTGGTTGGATCTTAGGCAAATACAATAAGTTTCAAACTATTAAGAAAAGAAAAAGGAAAAAAAGGAAAAAAATAGGATATAATACAATATTGATGGCTTGGATATCGTCGGTGAAACTACCAAACCACGTATCTCGGTTTGCGACGTCGCAGACTTCCTGTCATACTTTATTTTTTAAATGAGAAACTACTTAACATCCAGTCTTGAAAATTTCTGTGATTTTTCCTCTTTGTGCGGAGAAAATTCCGTGAAAATTTCAAGGAATGAGATTGATTTGGTCTACTTCAAAAAAATAAAATGTGAGCGTAGATTTTTAAACACCGCAAACGAGATACGTGGTTTGGTAGTTTCACCGTAGATATACTTTAGATCGGCTCATACCGACAGCATATATTTTATAATAGCTATTCTCATTTTTACCGAAAATCCTAAGATACGTCAAACTCATCTATCATCATATGGTCATAAAAATTGAGTCAATGAATTGAAACGGAAAAAGACGGAAGAGAAAGAAATCGGATCTTCAATACGGCCTTACATATTACCGCACCTGAACTGAGGTCAAACTAGCACCATGTTGACAAAATGATATCTGATCCGGAGCAGCGCCATGTCATAATTTTGACAACACATCATGTCGTCCCTGCCTACCGTCCTATACCATGACTGTGAGCATAATGTGTATATATACTTTCTCGGAGGAAAATCAAAGAGGTCTCTTGTCAAAATGATCAATTGACCATTCCCATGGTCAAGGTACGTTGTTGTTGGAGTCAATTGATATCAATCGCGTTTTGACGATGACTAACCTATCATTTCCACGTGGAACGCAAGATGAATTACTGCCTTTGTAGAAAAAATGTCATATGCGCGTCCACATTCTGCCATTATTCTTGGCCCGACGAAACACTTACTTTGGAAAAGAGTCAGGGATATTGTTCTCTTAGAATTTTCTTAGACATTAGACTAAATTGTGAGAAAATATTTCTGGAATAACTACATTTTAGAAATTACAGATGATAAAAAAAGACATAACTTTTCATTTTCATGATGAAAGTATATCGACTGCATAAGTCCGCAATCACAGACAGAGATAAAAAATCACGGCAGTTTGAAAGATTTGCCGTTGAGTAGTATGCTGGTTAAAAAATGAAGTATGACAGGGAGTCTGCGAAGTCACTAACCGAGTTATGTGATTGCCGACTTACACAGTCGATGTACTCCCCCTCCCAATGTTGTGAATGTAAAGACGTTCCGTTAAACTTTAAATCACGAATTTTATCGAGAAAGAGTGTACTCTGAACCGAATTAAATCACATTTTAGCTTTATATCACCAAACTCGAGAAGTGTCTTTCCGGCAGAAGACGAGAGAGTGGTCAAGAAATAGTCCACTTTTTCTCTATGGCACAGATTGATGTAATATTCTCAATTGGGCTACATTTTGCAATTTGAAAATATCAATTCTAGCCCGGTTTAAAAACAACGTATGTGACATTAGTTTCCCTGTGCACTTAAGTGTTTTTCCAAAGGATCCAGAATTTATAGTTCCAAATTGCGAAATGCAGTTCAATTTCTGAAACACTTTTGTCTCATTTTTCGATGAGAGCGATGAGCCTCCTGTGCGGCACCATAACTCTACCACCATCCAACTCCTTGAGGGCGTTGTCCTTCCTCATGATTTGCGTGCACTCCTCCAAATACTGATCCTTCAGTTCGGCGGGTATCTTCGAATTGTATTTATCCAATGACTCGATCAACTCTGCAAAAATTGAAGGACAAACCCACTTGAAAACAAGTCATGTACTTAAAATTGAGAGATTAATGCCTAAAGTGGCATAAGATACAGTACGTTGTGATTTTTTAGCCAACGTGCATTTAAAAATCCATAAAACTGCGAATCTCACAGCAGAGGGAAGAAGCTCATATGAGCACAATTTTCCCTTAAAGAGATACGCTATTTGGTGCAACACTAGTTACGACCATTCAGGACGCCATAGGCGGATCCAGCAAATTGGCAACATCATTATCTCTCCATTTAAATCCATGGAAATGTATCGATTCTTGGAGGGGCTTGGTGATCTGACCAGAATCGATTATTTAATATAGGTTTAAATGGGGGAAATCCGGTGTTGTCAAGTTGCTGGATCCGCTTCCGAAGACGCGTTCAGGTCTAAAGATGGACCCATTCTCAGTGCGTCGCTGGCGGGGAGTAAACTTGCGCCATTTGTGAGCGAATTTCTAGACAGCTCCGTATAAGCCTTGGCAAGGCACTTTTATAAGCTGATTTCGGTAGACGCACTAGTCGTAAGACAGTAAGTTGTAATTTTTTGTACCCAATGTTGCACCAAACAGCGTATCTCTTTGAAGGAAAATTATGCTCAAATGAGCTTTTTCCCTCTACAGTGAGCTTTCCGGTAACGCTTCATCTTGTCCACAGTTCATGGACGCCACGAACAAAAATCTTAAATTAGTATGTTCAAACTATCCACGTCCGAGGACTCCACGAACACAAATTTAATCTCCAATAGTCGTAAATTTTGGCACCGAGCATAAGTTTGTACAAGTTCCAAGTTTTTAAAAGTTCGAGTTTAAAAGTCTAAAGTCTTCTTCAAAATTTGCAAGTCCTTATCATAAGTCATGCGTAAGCATAGCTTTGAGTCATTTGTGAAAACTGGGTCCGTGGACTCCACGAACACCTAATATAAATTCAAGGTGTTCGTGGAGTTCACGAACGTGAATAGATTGAACACACTAATTTCAGATTTTTGTTCGTGGTGTCCATGAACTGTGGACAGAATGAGGCGTAATCAGATGTCCAGCTTTCTGTATTTTTAAACGCACGTTGGCTAAAAAATTACAACTTACTGTCATACGACTAGTGCGTCTACCGTAGGTAATCAGTTTGTAAAGAGGCATAGGCAGAACTAGGATTTTTTTGTGGGGAGGGGGGCGGAGGGGCATGTCATCAAGGGTGGGTCTTGGGGGCACAAAAACAACAACCCGCCAGGCCGCCAGGGGATCTGTGGGGTACCACCAGTTTCAAAGAAGGGTTCGGGGATTCATCTGGTTCTGAGGGGGGTATTGGGAGCCTCCTCTTGAAAAATTTGAATAATTGAATCGTTGCAAGAGCAATTTTGAGTTTTTTTCACCCACAAAATGATCGAATCATCATTTCAAAGATGAAAGGTGGCACGCGCTTACTCAGCAAAATTTATCGCGTTTCTTGGGAGGGGCGAGGTAAATTTCTGGGGCGGGGGTGGCGGCCCCCATCTTAGATGAAACAAATAAATCGAAAACTTTAATGAAGCGGACATTTGAAATACTCACTTTTTAGGACGTCCAAGCTTTCAAATTCGTCCTCGGTCTCGACACATTTACAGACGCTCACTTTGAATCCTACTTCCTTCAGGAGCTCTGTGAATTCTCCGGCAGGGTCGTTGCTGTAGAAATACGGTGAAATCTCCCGTTTGAGACCCTGAAATACACATGGATTTTTTGAGGTGAAGTTTAAGAAAACTCATAAAATAATATTAAAAGGGTGAATTTTTCGGGCTTGAACATGAAGCTGCGTTGTCAAATGGACCACTAGGCAAGGTATGAATTTAAGAATCCTGATACATGTTACTTAACCAAAACTTCATGTAAAACACGATTCTTGCATCAAAAATTACTGAGATCAACTTCTAACTTAGATATTAAAGTTTTAATTTTACATTGGATACGGGAAATTTGAATTGCCCGGTCACAAGAAACACAATACTCTATGTGAGGTAAATCGCGCACTACAACAGTTTCAACAAGCTTTTCAATCGAGCAATGTTCATTTCCCACCCTGTGTTGTTCAAACTATGAGCAATTTGCTGAAACTGAGCCAAAGCGTCAAGATTGAGGTTGCCAGATTTTTATATCGCAGAGACTGTCATGATAACGTTTAGCGCGCGATGTGACTCACGTTGAACATTGAGTTTTTATGAGCAGGAGGTTTGAATTCATGCATCAAGAATCATTAAATATCTTCGTTAGGAGTTGGTATCAGTAATTTTCGTTGTGCGCATCGTGTTCTGTGTGAAATTTTGATTGGAAAGCATGTATCAGAATGCTGAAATTCGTACCTGGTCCATTGCTGTGTACCTCCAATATAAATGCAGCTTTTGCATGCCGCCCGGGTGGCATGCAGAGGCTGCATTAACATTGGAGGTACACAGCAAAATTTCACAGAAAAATAAAGTAAATATCATTCGAGTTCCTAAATTGTTACAATGAGGATGCACTTTTACTTTTAATTATGGTAAAAACTGGAGCAGAAAGTCAAGAATGGTGACCCGCAGTCCTACATCATTCCTTCAGTCATGCAGGCGCTAATATGCGATTCACGCCAACTGACCGACTGCACTGAGTTTTGGCGCAATGCGAGAAGTATTCACGCAGTCTTGTAGGCGCTAATAGGGACTCAACGCTGACCGCACTGTTTGGCGCAATGCGCGAAGTATTCCTTAAGTCTTGCAGGCGCTAATATATGTCTAATGCCGGTCGCACTGTGTTTGGCGCGATTATTCAAACTCGCGTTAAAGTAATCGCGGTATCGAGTAATAGAGTTTAAATGGCCCATGTTGGGTTTCGACGCCTTATGAGCATTCGAACGTTGCCCCGTTTCTCCTGATTAAATAATTTTTTCCGAGAAAAGTTAGGCCAATTATTTAACCCACGACCAATACTTAATCTTTTCACATCATTTATCAACAGAAGGTAAAACATCGATGACTTGTCAACAAATTAACCTAAACTAGCGTTAACATAAAAATGCGTTTAATTTTCAACTGTTTCCTGTTTTGCCAAACTTCTACCTTAAATTAACTTCATTTTAGATTCGCGCATTCCTGTAGCAGGTTTTAAGGTTCCTTTTCGCGCAAACCTCATATGTTTTCTTAGCCCTTTAGCGCAATCCTGGATTACCGGTCGCAGACTCCCTGTCATACTCTACTTTTTAAATGAAAAACTACTCAACGGCAATTTTAAAAAAAATGCCGTGATTTTTCTTCTCGATGCCGGGAAAATTCTGTGAACATTTTAAGGAATGCCGTCGATTTTTTCATCTTTAGAAAAATAAAATGGGAGCGGAGATTTTCAAACACTGCAAACGAGATACATGGTTGCGGACTTACGCCGTCGATGTGCAACAGCTGTACGGACAACTGGTATCGAAAGAATGCGTGGGTGTGAGAGCCAGATGCGGGAAAGTAATTGCTAAGCTCCCATGAAGATCCGAATCAACATAAACATAAGCAAAAATTGGCGAATCATCATTATCAGTTCTCTTCTGAATTGCTAGATTTCCCACGAATGACTTCCACCCACGACACACTCACGGAAAGCGATGCCCACAGAACTAAACTCATTATGCCAATAAGTTGATTTTCGTTCACAGAAATTAACATCTAAAAATCTGTCAGTATCAATTGCATTCGATAAAGGGTTGTCGCATCAACTATAGCCAGCTTAACGCGGCTTGTTCTTTTTATCATCTGATTAAAACGGCACAATTTGAGAAGATTAACACGCAGTAATGCTTTCACAGCCGTCACCAAAAATTTATGCTAAGTATGCCCCTTGGTTGTTCTCATTGCTTTATCAGGGCACATGTAGTGACAAATCAGTCCAGGATTTTAAAGGCGTGAAAATATATCACGAGGCAGTGTTTCTATTAATCATTCAGGATGGAACACTTCGATTTTTGGAACACTTGCGAGTTTCATTTTGACTTTTTATCTTGAAATTGATTGGGATTTCATGGAGGATACCTATGGAGGCTCCTTTAAATATCGAGTTGTTCTTGCTCTATTCACAGTGCATTCCAAGCAGCTCAAAGTCTCATACAGCTCTTTATTCATATTTGCCGAAAATAATTCCATTTTCAAAACATTCTTTTTAGTCCGTGTATTTGACAGCAGAAGTTTAAGATGGCTCAAACTAATGGACAATTATTTTTCTTCCTCTTCGTTGTCATTGCTATGCTAGCGACTTATGTTCAGGTTTGTACTACGGTAGTTTATTTTTTACATTCATTCGAAAACTTCAATAATTGCTACAGGAGATTGAACTACTAATCTGCTTGGTTCTAGCTGTTCCAATTTTTGTGAGGAAACATTTTGTCCTGAATTTGTTTCCAATTTTTTTTGCTCATTTAAAAAGCATCTCCTAAAAAATCACTGAAAAATGTCCAATGATCCTCATGAAAGTTGTAATTTCCTCATAAATTTTGAAAACAACGCGATTTATACAGCATTTTTCCATTTCAGCTTTATTCACTCATTTCTCTTTGTTCTTCAATTGATTGATTCGCGTTATTCGTGCATTGATCTCGTAGCACGTTATAAAATAATATTCCTTCTAGTACGAGAAATAGTATATTTGTATCAGCTACCAAAATAAATCATGAGCGCTGATTATGATTCCCTGACCAGTGGCGTGGCGTAAATGATCGATTATCGATATCTCGCCATTTGAAGCTGTGGTAAAGAATCGATCACTAAGGTGTTCGCTGCGAACACCCTGATAATCGATCTTTTTTCATAGGTTTGAGTGGCGTATCAATTGATAAATCGCAAAGCACGCCACGCCACTGTACATACCTGACATGAGATAGTGTCAGAATTACAAAAAATATTATAATAAGATAAAACAGCCTCCTGACACTGATTTCTTTAACTTAAAATGGTTTGTGTTTGATTTCAGGGCTGTGCCTTGATCAAGAACTGCAATAGGAACGGTGGCTGTGGGTGTGGAGGCTGGGGTGGCTGTGGTTGCGGTGGTTGGGGTGGTTGCGGTTGCGGAGGCTGGGGAGGTTGTGGATGGGGTGGTTGCGGTTGCGGAGGATGCGGATGGTGCTAAGGTAATGTTTATCTTTTTGGTGACGATTCAACGATTTCGTATTCTACCATGCTAAGGAAGAACACCGTATGAGCATTCAAGTATTGCCAAATATCCCCGGATAAAAAATGCATTTTTGAGAAAAGTTATGTATATTTTTCCTCAACATTCAGATATTTTAGAGTAAATTGGGGATGAAATTGTTTGAAAAATTTGAGGAAAAACATTAGCAAGTTTCCCGGTCGATTCGTTTTTTATTGAAGGAATATGGCAACGTCTGAAAGCTCACCGAGCTCTTCCTTAGCACGGCGATATTATCTTTATCTCTTAATTGAACATTATCACCGACTTCGATTTTGCCTTTTTTCTTAATCAAATATTTCACGCAATTACTACCGCTACTAATTGCAATATACGATCGATAAAAGGCGCGAATGATTGCTTTCTTGAAAATCGGTGAGAAAAATTTCACCAAAATTGTGAGTCAAATTTACTAAATATTCCGTGAAATACAAGAGTTTGATTACACGTAGCATTTTGTGGAAATTCATATTTTCCAGTGACATCCTAGCAAAAGTGCTTCTCAAATTTACGGGTAAAAATGTTTTCTATAGGGTGAGAATAAAGTTTCAAAAGAAAATCTTCTTAAAATTACACTTTTTTGCATTCGATATAAGTACTTTGATCTGGATGTGGTTTTTCATTAAATAAATTGACACGTTATTTGTTTGAATTTGTTCAATAGGATCTTCCTAAGGCCGAATGCAGTGTTCAATGCAACTTCAACTATACCGGCAAATGCAGAGTCAGGACCAAAAAACATTATCTCCGTTTTCTTGTTTTCTTTTCTTTTCTTTCTAAGTAGCTACTGAAACCCATCTAGCTGCAGAGTTACATTACGAAGGGAGTACAACTGTAAATACAACCTACTCGCACCCAAAGTCTCTACACACAGCACAACTTACGAACAAAAGGGACATGACTGATTTTAATCGTCCCTATTTTCCCGTCAACTTTGTTTCAGTTGTTAAGGAAGTCTTGCAAATAAGATTAAGAATCTGCGTTAAAATTGTTGAATTGTATAGCCTGAAGTTCGTTGAATAAATTAAAAAAAACCGAAATTTCTGTTTTTCTAGTTATCTCACTTCCTTGATATATTGCTTGTAACTTAAAAATCGAGTTACACAGGGTGTTTTAGGCCGCTTCATACAAGCTGTATCTTTAATACAAGCGCTTGCACTAATACTTTCCACCCTTATTTTGCAGCCATTGAATCAATGGAAATATTTTCAGTTTAAAATATAACGTCAATTTAAACAAGACCAAGGATAGGAATAGTGGAACAGTCGACGGATTCTCGTTGAGTATTTTAACGTTGATTCAGTAACCTACCGGGAGTACCGGGCCTGTCATTTCCTCCAAGTATTTTATCACTGGTTTATGTAAATAGACAAATTATCCTCTTAGCGAAGTTTCTACTTTCCACCGACGTTTCTAATCATTTAAAGGAATCCAAACTCAACATAATGCCTAACTAGTAGGTATTTTTTCTTTAATTTTTAAAAGTTACGATCTAAAAGTTTTAATGCTACGGTTTTTTCCTCAAAAAATAAATATAATGAGAGAAGATTTGTCGATAGAGTGGTACGATCATGCGTTATTTTTTACTCAAACCATTGGCATACCGCATGATGTCAGTCACGCTGAATTTTTTGACAGCAGCAGGCAAGAGTCGCGTAAATACGTTACATAATTCCACGTGCGTCTGTAGAGTTCATTACATCACACCAGTTTCCCATGAAAAAAAATTTTCGCAAGACTTCGGAGGAAGCACTAAAAATTTGAGAGAGCTACTACCTCTCAAGCAAAACCAATGTCATCAGTGTCAGAAACTGCTGGGGATCCTATATGTAAGCGCCTCTAGCAGTGTAAGGAAAATCATCGGTTTTTGCGTTACGCTGGCAGGGAAATCAAAACTATTATGTTCCACAGTTAGCCATCCTATCTACTTAAATTGATACTTAATTTGCTTTTAAAAATAGTTCATTTTATTTCTAAGTATTTCTACGAATTTGGTCGCGAGACTTTTTTAATGAATGCACAGTCATGAAAAGAGATGGTATCTCAACGGACTCTAGTGGGGGGGGGGGGGGG